AAAGATCTAAAATAAAATGGTGTTTTATTTGAACAACACTTTCCAAAATCAGCTTTGTTGGATCTGCTAGTTCTTCTAAATCATCCTAAATCAAACGCCGGTAAATAGTTCGTAGGGGGTGTTGGTCGTCTAAAGGTAAATATATTTACATTTACATAAAGTCAACGAAAGGGGTAAAAGTCGGCAAACTCTGAGATTTCTTGAAAACATCTTTAGAGAGTTGAACAGTGATGTCTTGTGACGTGGCAAAATTTGCTTCACAATTTTTTCACGTGACTGTCGACGTCCCTATTCTGAAACCAATTAGTGTTCTTAATGGGATCCTCGCATAACTGAAATTTTCGTGTGTTTTAGAAACGACCAACGGTAAGCCAGAGAAGGAGACACACACCTAGACCAGAAATGTAGCGTGCGTACGAGTGAATGTGATGATGTACGTCGGCACGTAAGAATGATCCGAAGGTAAGGTAGGGACCAGATAAACTATTTTGCGCACAAGTAGGTGATCGGACGAGGGACGAGGGGATACCGACCCAAGGGTCAGGAAGCAGAGCGCGAGACAGAAAGGGCGGAGGGAAAAGGCCAGTAGAGTTCCTACCATCGAGAGAGAGAGCTGTCGAGCACGAAGAGAGTGTCTGCGCCATTTTGCTGTCTCGTTTTCGTGGCCGGTACTCAAGACGAGCATCTCGTTGGCGATTCCTTTTTCCTAGGGCGTACGCGGAGATCGGGAAAGGGGTCGAGCTGTACGATGGGAAAACGTGACGAGTGTATGCAGGAGAAAAAGTGACGGCACCCGAGGTACCGTGAGAGCGAGCGAGAAGAGAGGAGAAATAGGGCTGATCCAAGCCTGCTTGGCCATGAGCGCTGGTCGCCCCGCCAACGAGACGTCCTCCTCTGACAACCCTAGCCAAGTCGAGAAGGAGGGGGCCTTACGCAGCCGGGGAGCAGGATCAAGGGACTCTGGAGCTTCAACTTCTCGGACCACCATCCGCGACGACACAGCCGGCTCGCTCGCCTGCGAGAGATGAGTAGCATCAGTCAAGGTACCGTGAATAGGCTAGTAGGGACACAACAGGGGGGGAAAACATCGAGAGTCTATAGCGAGGGCGAGAGCCACGAGACTGGGATAGGGAGCGTGTCGAGTGCGCCCTGGTCGGGCCTCCACTGAGACGCGGAGACAGGCACGCCGTGCCTGTGGGCGTGAGGGAGGGACAGGGACCAAGAGAGAGAGAGAGAGAGAGAGAGAGAGGAAGAAAAGGGCGCATGAGACCGAGAGCGAGTGAGTAGTCGCATAGCCGTGGTGTAAGGGCGGGACGGATCGAGAGCCGACGTCGGGACGCTGTGAGTTGTAAGGCGTGTTTGTGACCGTCTCCGGTCGCGACGGCAATCCATGCCCGGGACCTATAGGTTGCGCCGAGTGTGTGTGTGGGGGTGTGTCGGTACGGACAGGCAACCACGCCGAGGGGACCTGGTCCCAGACCGAGAGTAGCGTGAGAGGAGAAGTGGGTGTAAAGGCGCGTGAGTATTTGTGCGTGTGAGCGAACTAGCGTGGCTCTCCGAGTGCACCACTGGCGTTGTGGTGGCGATCGAGGGCTTGCACCGTAGCCTCGGGACCGAGACAAGTGTACGTGTAGCGATTGTAGATAGTGGTTGTGTTTATTTCAATAAATCTATAAAATAAAGCCAACATCGCCTTTTGTTGTTCATTTGCCCAGACGTGAATCCTCTTTTGAGACAGGTCCAGTGAAGGGGCGAGTAGGGAGAGCGTTGTCGAGCAGAGACGTACGAGAGAGAATAATTTTGATATTTTCTCTGCAACGGTAAGACACCTTGGGGAATGTAAAATATACGTTATAGTCTCTATACTTTTTTTTGCAAATAGAGCATTCTTGTTACTGTTTAGTCTCGGGATGAACATGCTTGTGATCATTGACAAGGGGTTGACTGATGTCACCCTTAGATGACTAGTAGTAGTGTCAGGGGAAGTTTCCTTAGTGTAGATGTAGCTTTAATTTACAGTAGTATTTACTAAACGTATACTGCTCTGCCTATTGTATTCATGCCTCATTAGTAATGAGTGAACAAGGGAATGCCTAGAGTGGTTGAATGGTCCATCTTAACTACTAGAGATTGTTTTGACACGTGCCACCCGTGGTAATCGAATAGCGAATGATAGTAAGTATCACTGTGCATAAAGCTTAAAAGTTCTATAGTAAACTCATAGAAACAATATAAAAAAGGATTTGTACATATGGTAATAATCAACAGTAAACAAAATACTACCGCTGACAACAAAAATAATAAATGATTTTGCCAGTACAATTATTTTAAAATTTTGCGCTCGAGCCTCATGCATGTAGTTAACGAACGGTTATAAGGTCATTGGTTTTTTTCAATTCATAAAGCTTTTTTTTTAATTGTATTTTGTACATTTCACCTTCTTTAATTTTTAATAGAAAACATACAACTTTTCTACTGTTCACAATTTCTGCTTCTTGTGCAAAATAATAACCATAACGACGTTTACTTTAATTTTTTTTTTATATTCAGTAAATCATTACACGGCCTAAAAAATATTTTACAAAGCCGTTACAACAGTCTAGTCAGACTTTTTACGATAGCAAAATTAGTAAATTAACTGCAAGTTACACTTACATATATCTTTAAAGAAAGACGGTAAAGGTCACTTATTTTAATGCTTATTACAAATATAATTATATAATTATTACAATTTACGTAGATGTATGAAATGGCCTGAAGTAAATTATTTTAGACTTTTACTCTTTATTTCTCGTGGTCATAAACAGGTAAAATACGTATTCGTTAGTTAATGTTGTCAACACTATTAGTAACTAAGATTCACTCAGATATTTGGGTTATTTGACATGTAACACATATATCTTTTCTTTTTCCTTTCTTTCATCATACACTGAGATTGTTCCTCGGATGATTCTCTAGATTTTATGTAACGTTGCTCTCATCTTTTTTGACCTCTCAATTCCCAAGAAATGCTCAGTTATCTCGATTGACCCGCTACATAATAGACGCCAAATTTCAATTTTTCCAAATTTCCACTATCTTGGCTAGTAAAACTAATTTACGATATAAGATAATCTGATTCACCTATGCGCTTTTTCCTATAAAAGAAATTTCAGGCCTACCACAGGAGTAGAATTACTCGTACGCTCATAGTGCAACATTATATAGTTTTATTTCCGTAAGATTAGACTATTAAGTCAACTATTAAAATCTCTTAATAATAATTGTACTTTTTTTTCCTCTTTCTTATTGTTGTAATTTGTATTAAGTTCAAAATAAAGTCAAAAACCAGCGGAAAATAACAAGGTTGTTTTAAGGTGAAATTTATTATTATTTCTCTATTGTTTTTCATGGCAAAAGGATTCCCGAGTTCAAACCATCTTTACCTCTCCTCTCGCCTCCTTTGTCAAAACTGCTAGCCATGCAACAAAATAATTAGTTGCCCAACCACTCTGGGTAACATAATAAATAATAGACCAAATTTTTGGCCGTCACCCAAACCTTTACTACAGTTCGAGTACAGGATAGATAATATAAAACAATATTCCCTCCAAACGTGACAGACATATAAATTTTATTATACAACTTAATTTTATAGATTTCTAAGTAGAAAATAAGATTTTTCAGATTTTTAAATGTTTAAAAAAATGTTAAAAGTTGTTGAATAGAAAACATTGAAATAAAATATAAAATCCTAACTACATGTAATGACATTTTTGTCTTCATGTCAGTAAAGGTTGCAACATAAAAAAAATTTACAGTTGCAGAAAAAAGTTGTAAGAGTATTTCTACTTTCCAATAAGTGTTAATTATTTTTCACAAAAAAATTTATTCCATATTTCTGTTACTGTATATTTTAATTCGATTCCTCAAGGATCTTTATCGCGTATAACGTTTTTTGTAGGATCTTTCTGAAATTCCAACAAAATCTTTGTAAGGATTTTAAAAAATTTCAAGTAAAGTTTGAGACTATTTCACAACACCATTTTTTAGATGTTAAATATTGAAAGAACTTTAATTCAATATGTAATCTTATAGAAAAGTCACATAAAAATAAAATGTATATGAAAGTGGTCAGTAGAATTTGTAAAATTTATTTTGCAAGACACAATACCATTAAATTTGTGTAATAGTTAGTTTTTAGAGAGACTGATAAGTTATATTTGCAACAACTCTCCTTGCTTACTGTGATGAACATCCCTAAGCTTATTTTAATATCGATAGGAAAGTATTGGTGATTTGAATATATGATTATGATGAATCTTACTACATTAGTTTAACAGAAATAAGAGATCCGCAATTAACATTTTATACTGCCATTAAAGATCTAAGTTTTGACTTACATGAAAAAAGTTTGAAATAACGTATTGTTCTAGTTATTCTTAAACTACATAACTAATGATAAATTTTTTAAATCAGTATTGCTTCTTGGTAAAATTCACACTCAAAAAATTACTGGTTCTAAGAATCACTTATTGTTATCGATTATACATACTCGCCAATAATCCTTGCGCATGTCTTATCTAGCTTTTTGTGTGTACTTGGCAGTGCACATTATATGCTTCGCGCTGACTCTTTGAATTTTAACTTAGCATATTTAATGCATTATTGTAAATTATTTTAAGAAATAATAAAACAAATAAATGGATATAAATGTAAATAAAAAGTGTATATTAAGTGTATATAAACTTCTAGGTTATAAACAATGCCCCCTTGCATCCTATACTCTAATACTTCATGAATAAAGTAGATTTTTACCTTTATCTTATAACATGATGATAATAACAAAATTTATTGCTTGTGTAAAATACTGCAGTTTGGCTGTTTGAATGCCTCATTATACTGTATAATCTATTATTAAATATGTTTATGTAGATAAATAGTAATGTTGTTTTTTATTTTTTAGTATGTAAAACTCTTTAGACGTTTTTTTATCTTTTGTGAACGTCCTTCAATTTCAGATAAGAAAGAAGAATTAAGGACCTTAGATAGTGAACCAACAATTACAAAAAAATGCTTTGCCATAAATTACCAACCAGCATTGACCGTTACTATGGATCTTGTTGAGCTGTATCCAGATTATGATAAAGAATACAATTGCAGAAAATCAATCACAATCAGAAACATTACATCTGATTCTTCAATATTTTTTTCGAATAATTCATTAATGGCTCATTCTATGCCATATTGTAACCAAAACAGACATACAACAAAAAATAAATCTGTAAATAGATGTAAAAAGTCCTGGTACGTTGGACACCTTATCAGAAATAAGATAAAAGAAATTAATAAAGAATTTAATCTGCTAACCAAAGATGATTACAATGTTGCTAATTGGCATCAAGATATCAAATTCAAAGTAATACAAGCGAAAAGTAGACCACCTTTCCAAAGTCATGAATATGAGACGCGTATTTTAACCCAGTTACAAAAATACAATCATGAAATAACATTTTATAATTTCCTTGAAAAAGAAAAATCTTGTGAGATAGCCCGATTTTTCTCGGCTACGTTACAATTGGTAAGTCGAAGTTTTCCTAAAGTTAAGCGTACAAACACATTTAGTCCTACCTATTTTTTATTAAGTCTACCTTTCAACAGCATACAGTCAATAAAGATAAGAATTTGTTGAATTCCTTAAAATCAGAAAAGTCTCTTATGTTTCTAAAAATTCTAATAAGATTGAGAAAAATTTTCTTGCATTTCTTAGAATGTAGTAGTAGTTAGTGAAACTTGAAATCTTGAGATTAAATTGTGCAATAAATGTATATGGAACCAACAGACATTAATATTAGCTTGTGTAAACAATACGAGAGATACACAAATCTAAATAATTTTTTAAGAAAACTTATAAAGTTGTTATTTTTTACTAATACGGTAAGGTTTTAGTATTATGTATGGGAAATTTGTATTCAAATGTAAATAAAATTGTACAATATTATCTTTTAACAGTAAAAAGTGTAAAAGCAAAAAGTTAAATANTGGAATCTTGGAGCATGGCTATTTATTTCATATATTAGTTGGACAATGTGATCCAATATTTCGGAGTCATCCTGACTCCCTCTTCAGGGAACTGTACAATTTACAATATTTATAATATAAAAAACATTATGACAAATTACATTAAATGAAAATATAAGTCACCTATGCAGATGCGAACATGAAAATGCCAAACGCAGCATGACTGATAAAGACTAGTCAGTCATAACCACGGCAATGGAATACTAATAATTAAATAATCTTAATATTATAAACTTTATCAGTCAAAATGTATGTACAGTTAAGTTATCTACAATATAAGTCACATCCTGACTCAGCACATGTAACTGGAAGATATTAAAAATAGTAATATGGTGTTAAGGTCTTGTCACCACATAAGGGTGCACCCACGGTCAATGTATGTACAAGGAAACAAGGACCAACAGAAACGTGGCCATCAAGTGGCACACCTATCAAGCAACACTCGTCAAGAGCAACGCCACCCATGCATCCTGTCTCTAAGTTCATATAAAAAGGACTTATAATGATCATGTAGTTTATTGGTATCTAGTTTTCTATTAACATTACGGTTGAAGTACGAAATACATAACATCTCCGAAAATTCCCTTTTAAATTTGTTGTTTTCTTGGTCCAAAATTTTGACTTCATCGAACTTGAAAGTATGGCTGAACTCAGAACAATGTGCGGCAATGACAGAATTTTTATCACACTTGTGAACCAAGCATAAGACTTGCTTGTGACTTTGTTTACGTTTGCACAGATATTTCTTCCAAGTGCCTGATAAGGTGCACATTTTTTGATACGAGAGTTTATCTTAGAAGTTAAGCTATTTATTTGAACTCGTTTCTCATCATAAATACATCTCTTGCCTCAAAATTTTCGCAACAAGGGCTGAATAATCGCTCTTGCCCATAAAAGCAATGTTAAATCATGCAATTTCGGAAATTTTGTTTTCGAAAATTCAGCTGATAAAAAATATTGAAAAAATGTATGTGTACTTCCAGAATGTTAAAGTACATTTATTTGTTTCAGATAGTGAATGAATCTTCTCAAAAATTATCGAACCTCCTTAAATTATATTTTCATTAAAAGACTTCGAGTAAAACATGAATGAATAAATAATCTTTTAACTACCAATATCAATAATTTTTCATGGTGAAACATTGCTTTTAATGCCCTGCACAGTTAACTATATGATAAAATTGATAACTGTATAATTTAATATATAATTATGATAAAGCTTTTGCGCAACGATCCCCTATAAATCGGATACGACTTCAAATTTCTTCTTGACGATGAAATGAATTATGTTGATAAGACAGTTATGTTTTAAAGTAGTTTAATAAGAAAACAGATTAAAAATAATAGATCAATCTATATACGACACGTACACGTCCGTATACACATTAAAGTCCGAAAAAGACCGAATGATTCCTGTCAGGTTTCCGAACAGTAGTGTGGGGAGTGGTGTGGGGGCGGTGGACAGTCACGAAAAAATGCATGGGGTGTTTGTGAGGTAGGGGCTGTGGGGGATTTTGGAAAAAACTGCGATGTGTCAGAATAATGGAAAAGTTAACAATCTTTTACCTTATTTTATTGGGGGGGGGCAGGGGGGGGGATGGAGTAAATGAGGGTTTGTAGGGGGTTGTGTGAAATTCCCTATTGAGATAACTATATAATATAGGAAGATATATAGCTAGGTATATAGGTAATACACCTTACAATAAAAGCTATGTATACACGACAATGCCGTTATACTTACCGTATATACTGAAGAAACTCAATATGCAGCATGGGATGAAGATTGTTGCCGAATTGGACGAATTCAAAATGTTTTTTCCAAAAATGATTGTAGATGCGTTACTAGAAGATGAAAATTATTTAATAAAATTGCAAGGAACTGCGAGTAAAATAAAATTACTTACGTGTCTTAAGGGAAGTAAATTTATATTTTCATATGCATAATTATGTGATAATTGTAGTGTAAAATTAAAAACAAGTTCAATGTAAATTTGTGTATTTTATTTATTTACTTTTGATACAATTAACACACATAATTTTAATTCTCTGCAATTTTTTTATATTAACATCAAGTTTTGGAATAACACATGATAAATCTTTTTTATCAATCCAACTATTATGAATATTCTCGAAACCCAACCATTTAACAAGAACGCAATTTTTTCGACGACTTATAACTTTTTCGACAAGATAAGTATCTGGGTATTTGGTTTTCTGGAGTTTCTGTTCATAGAAACCTCCAGAGATTGGTTGCTCTTGATAATCTTTTAAATGGTAAGTTGGTGGGCTAGTAGGAGCTACTCATACTATTGTGAAAATTTCAGTAGACCAGTTTGGTACATATCCTTTTTCAAACATTTGCTTGATATAGCTCACTGGTACTTTATCACCCAACTTAAATTTAGGTTTTTTAATTTCTAATGTTTTTTTAGATATGAAAATTTTAATAACATTACATTATATCAATGATCATTCTTATTTTCAAGGGTCAATACCTTTGAGTATGATACTTGGTTTTTCTGAGGACTATCGAAAAGTTGTGGTTAATGCAAAACATGAAGTAATTCTTACAAGATCAAGAGATGATGTTAGCGCCGTTATACAAGTACCTAACAAACAAAATTTTAAAAAGTATAAGCTTACATTGACTCAGATTGACATGTTTGGACTGTCAAAACGTCAAATCAGTTGAAAAAACCTTGTTTTGTCATTTTGGGCTTTCAAAAAGAACGAAAAAATGAGCCTGCTTCTGATGCCCGTCTCTTTGATCATTGTAATATCAGCAATATGAAACTTTTCCTAAACTCACACTATTATCCTTATGGAAATCTTAATCTTGATATTATTAAAAATTAGTTTTTAATATTATACGATGTGTATAAGAATTTTCAAGCAGCCTATAATGGGAAAAAATCAGAATCTATGTTAAATGAAACAGATGTCATCACACACATGCCTCTCATTGTAATTCACTGTTCTAAGCAAAATGAAGCTTTGAAAAGCGCGCCAGTGGACGTACGCTTGGAGTTTGATGCATGAGAGATTTTCCTGGAAAATGTATCTACTGTCTTATTCTACATGATCGTATCGGAGAGTACAATCCTATCAGTGGTAACATAAGAAAACTTGTTTAATCACGTCTATGAAATTGAAAAATATTCGCAGTCTTCAACATGATGGAGTACGTGGTAGATATGCAGGGCTTTAAGAAACCTGGCAATAATTACGTGCTTAAAGAGTTGGTGATTCTGTCACTCCATGGGGATGATGAGCCACAAGTATTTCTCTTCAAGCCACCATTTCCTCGGTGCAGACTAAATGATAAATAGAAACGTGAGAATTTGAGGCTTGAGCTGGCCTATCATGGATTAGACTGAGAATCAGGTGATATTGACTACATAGAAATTGGTAATGTGCTTCGTAAGAATCTCAAAGATGCAAAAAAGATTTTTGTAATTGGAGAACTGAAGAAAAAGTGGCTTGAAAGGTTTAAAGTTATTAATATGACTGATTAAGATAGCCGGAAACCTCTTTTAGAGAAGCACGTTGAGGCATCTCAGTCAAAATTAAAAAAGAATTATTATTCTGAAAATATTCCCTCATGTCCCAAAAAAAGGATATAAAATAATTAGAAAAACGTTATATTATTTTGCAAAACAATGGGCCCTTACAAGAGCCATAAATTTTTTTTCATATTTATTCAAATTTTAAATAAATGTATTAAATTTAAAGATTTTATTATTATTTAAGTAACCTTTCCTCATGCTAACCTTCACAATTGAAACCTACGAATTATTTATTACTATACGTTATTATTTTGTGAATGAATGGTAAAAAGTTATTAACTATATCAACAGCAACTTGTTGAAAATGGTAAAACAATTAGAGATCACAGTATCGAGTCGAGCACGTTTATTCTTTCATCTCTTTCGAGTAACATAAGTACGCGTACTATGGACAACTTCCGTCAACTATAGTGTGTATAAATTGGCAAGTGAGTGAATCACGTGCACACCGGTGAGTTTAAAAGTATATTACATTACACTTGATATCTGCATTTGTGGCTCGATATTTTCTCCAGCACAGTCATACGTAAATAGAGCCATATTACGCCGCTCATCCATACATGCATTGTGGAGCAAGACGCATCGAGTCGAGCACGGTCCGGCGCTAGTAGATATGCCTGACTGGCTCCGTAGAGGGTCACGAGTGGATCCGGCGCTAGTACGTATGCCTGATCGGCCCCGTAGGGGGATACGAGGCCACAGTGGCTCCGTATCCTAGGCTTCTTAGGCCAAGTGGCCCCGTATCCCCCTAGCTATACTACTCATTAGAACTATTTTTTATTACACTTATTAAAATCAAGCTTAAAAAACATCTTCAAAAATGAAGACTAGAAACTTATCTAAACCTACGGTACAAGTGAATGTACGGCTCCTCGGTAGCTCAAGTGGTCGAACAATTGTATAGTAAACAGAATATTATGTTTGATCTGCACCTAGGGAGGATATTTTTTTCATGCTTACTTGACATCAAGTAATTCAAGTTTTAATTTAGCCAAAAATTATGATTATCATAATTATCACCATTATTATGTAGCCCTATCGCTTTTCTCGCAAGTTGGTTTACAAAAATACAATCTTATAACAGTATAAGTTGCTTCAAGTAAAAAGATAGTTATTAAACTTGTTAAGAATGTGAGCTTTAATACATTTGTAGGTAATTAATAAGATGTTTATTAACACTTTGCATTTTCCTCTTAATTTTTTTGTTTTAATTGATATGTATATGTTGTACAACTTAAAACTCGTAGTATTCGAAAGAAGAAACTGCTTTAGTTTTTTTATTCTGTGACAATTGGAAAAAAAAGATAACATTTGTCAAAACTTAAGAATAATTCAAATTTGAACATGAAAGTTAAAAAAAATGTCAATCTGATATAAAAATATCCAAACAGTGAAACCAATCGTATTTAATAAACTTCAGTAATATAAATCATAAGTTTCCTTTTTTTCTTTATTTCACAGTGTGTAAATATTTTTATTAATTAGCACTTTACCATGATAAAAAAAATTAAAAATAATTGTTGTTGCAAAAGTAAAATGATGTTACTACCTTCAGGATAATAGAGAAACGCATTAGCAGCCGTTATTTAATGATGGGAGATTTCAACGATTAATTAAGTTACATAATAAATTGTATAGTTTTGCAATATTAAATGAGAATTTACATCAAGAAAAAATAGCAGTTGTGTGGTTTTAAAGAGTAAGGTTGAGATTGCTATATTAACTCTTTTACTTCATAGATTTAAAGTAAAATGTCAGTTAAAAACTTGTAGTGTATCACCGCCTTTCAAAAAGGCATTATTTTAAACAAAAAATAAGTAAACATTCCTCGAAAAATTCATTTAAAAATATCAATAAAACTTTAAGAGGAAAATAAAAAAAATATTTAAGAGCGAATAATTATAAACAATTATT